CAAACGTGAAACTAATTATTTTAGTGAGATCTTGGGACCTGGTTTTATTCGAGATTTTTTTACCTTTCTTTCTATTACATATTTTACAATAGTTCGAAATCCATTGGCATCTTGTAAAGTGGCACTCGGAGAGTGAAGCCGAAGATAGTTTGGCGAATGTTATGGGAATCTAAAGAAAAATTGGGACAGTTTTTTTCCTTATATAATTCTGGAGAATGTCATCATCGTAAAAATTCAGGAATTAAAGAGGTCGTCATCCAACCTTTTTCAGAGGGAGACGGTCAACGGTCTTCAGTAGAGTGGTTACAAGATGGGGACCATAACATGAAGTCTTTCCATGAGAAAGCTTTTCGTCATGTCCAACTAAAATACGTGACATGGCAGTGAAGGGTGTGGATAGAGGAAACTGTTGAAGATATTGAAAGATTGTAAAGAATAATATCCATGGTAATTTTCTAATTGTAAGGGATTATATTCCTCAATAGTTGATTGGATAATTATCACATAATCTTTTCTTTTAGAGTTACTTATAACCCTATAAATAGGATCTTTTACTTTATAATAAGAATACAAGTTTATTATATATAATTTATAACATTCTAATATGGTATCAGAGCGGATTTAACTTTATTTGGGGTTAAAATTGCAAGCTTCTGTTCTTCGGCGAGCGACCTCGTGCCATTTGTCCGGTAAAGTTTTCTTAATTTGATTAGTTATCCTCGTCTAGTCAAATTCTTCTTTTTAACTTTATATATTCTATCTATATTCTGTGTAGCCAAGTTTTCTTTTGTTCTTGATTTAATCTGAATTGGGATTTCATATTAATTCAAATCTTGTTAGATTTTGGCCATTCTTGTTGCTTCCCTTTTGGAGAGAGTTTGTTTTTGAGGAAGTCGAGAATTAGTTTTGAAACTTTGTTATATATGTTGTTGCTATAATTATTTTGAAGAAAATCATGTTATTTTTTCATCACATTTGTTGTTTTAGCCTCCTAGTGTGCCAGGATTCCTGTTTCATCAATCTTTCCTCCATCTGTAAATGTAGTACGGATACTAACTATGGATTTCGGAGTGCTACTAGGAAACAGTCATTCCTTTGACTGTCTAGTTATTAAACCATTTGAGATTCTTGTTTTGGCCTTATTCATTATACTTGTGGGTGTCTTCTTCAAGCCTTTGTGATGATTTAGATAGATTGGTGGATAATGGTTTTTCTTTCATACAAACTTTGACTTCTTTGTTTGACTTGGTTGGCATGCAAGTAATTTTGAAGTATCCTTTGACCCTTGGAAGATGAAGATTAGATGGATCAATTTAATTTTCAAACTCAATTTGATTGTCACCACCATATCTAGTTTGAGGAAGGATGTTGAAGATATGGAAAATTTGTAAAGAATAATCTCAATAATATTTTTTGGATTATATTCCTTAATAGTTGATTGTATGATTATCCCACAATCTTTTCTTTTATGGTCCGTTTGATTGCAAATGTGAAAAATGGGTGGAAAAAAAATGTTTTACAGGGAATTGAATTGATTAGAAATTGTTTTACTATGAATTGTAATTAATTGTGTTTGATTGGTATAATTTTTCACTTGAAAAATGTTGAAAGTTTGGTGTTCGTTTGACTTCATTTTTCATGGAAATTGTTCACTAAAGTGATAATTATTTCTACCATTGGGTTCCAATTGTTCAAATTTTTTTTTTACCATACCAAATACCATTCGTTTGGCTTTGTTTTACATGAAAATTGTCAATGAAAATGAATTTTTTTCACGTGTTTTATTGAAAAAATATTGGAAAAATATTGTTTCTTGTATTTCGCGTGATTTGTTTTTATTTTGTTCCCATTTTGGGTTTGGACATCTTTCTTATAAATAGTAGACTCTTTATTCAGTTTATATGAGCAGAAATTGTTGAAATTATATTTTCTCTCCACTGGTTGTTTAATAAAATATCGGTTACTCTGCCAATTTTTCTTTTCTTTACTTTAAATATTGTTCTTGTTTGGTGAATGATCAATACTTTATATTGCTCCATTAATCTCTTTCGATTTTTCACAATACGTGGGTTCAAAGTGTCCCAACAAGTAGTATCAGAGCTACGATTGTTGAATTTATTTGATATTTCTAGTTTCGATAACTGCAATGAAGTATAGCATTCCACTTTTGGATTGTAATACAAGGTTTTCTATGTGGCAAGTAAAGTTGAAAGCAATTCTGGCCCAGATAGAATTGGACGATAAAATGCCAACAACATGGACAACAGAGGAGAAGCAATGGAAGGATCGGAAGGCGCTGTCTATGATTCATCTTCATAATTTTAACAACATTCTTCAAGATATGGAGAAATCGGCTGTTGCATTGTGGTTAAAACTGAAGCAATTGTGCATGACGAAGACATTAACGAGTAAGTTGCATATGAAGCACAAGCTTTATTCTCATCGCATGGCAAAAAGGAGTTCTTTGGAGGACCATCTGGCCGTGTTCAAGGAAATTGCCTATGATCTGGAAACGTTAGAAGTCAAGTATGATGAAGAAGATTTGGCATTGATCCTGTTATGCTCACTGCCCGCTTCGTATTCGTCGTTCAGGGACACGATCTTGTACAGTCTTGACATACTTACCATTGACGATGCTTATGACGATTTATTTTCAAATAAGAAGATGAAGAATATCGTTGAAGCTAAGGATGAGGAAGCTCTGGTTTC